GGGATCGTATGTTGAAAATCTCCGTATCTCAAGTATTCGGCGATTTACATGCTTCTTTTTCTAGGGCGTTAGGAAATACTGAAATTGCCGCGGCGAAACTGACTATTAATGACATTGCTTGGAACGCAGTGGCGTCCGCTGTTGGTTGTGGAAACAGTACGTGGCTTTGCTTACTCCGAATCCAAGCTGATATCCGGTGATCAGCAACCGATTCGGTTCAATTTTCCTGTATGCAGAACGTCAGCACCATTGACTTGTCTGCAGCAGTCAGCAATACCAGCCAGAGTTTCAATGTAGTGGTTGATGGTCCGTGGTTTTCAACCACATCGGTTATTGTCGAGATCTAACCCCGGTGTAGGTGTTACTACATTCGCGGACACGGCAGCGAGAGCAACTTCAGGCCGCTTTTTAAAAGTCCCCGTGCTTGCTGGGACAGTGGCTAACGAAGGTGATATCTTTATCGCAATAGCGCAATTGCTTGCGGTGGGGGCCATCATCCAACCCGGATTCGACATTCTTTCTTCGATCTACACTATGGTGAGCGATTCCAATCTTCAACATGGCAAAAGCAGACTAAATTCCGTTCCAGAACACTTCATGTCCAACTGCCGAAACTACCGCCTTTCGTGCAGCAGCTGGTAGCACAGTCTTTCGGTATGAATATCAAGGTAAGCTTACCTGGATTTCCGAGAACCACATATCCTCATGATCAAGTTTCCTAGCCATCTTCCCGAACATGTCACCGTTCCCCCAACTCCGCGCCTATCACACCTCTGAAATTCCATTGGTGTTTGGAACATACAACGTGAGCAGAGAAAGTCTTGCCACAACACAAACTGGCATTCCAGTACCATCCACGAACACTGAGATCGCCCTATCAAAAGCAATGCAGCGCGCTTGGGTAGCTTTTGCTCAAGATCCCCAGAATGGTTTACCTTCGATCGGTTGGCCTGTGTATAACACAAGCGCGAGCTCTCCAACGATTGCTACATTGGGGAACTATTTGAACGCGACTGGATGGTCGTTTCACAGAGTCGGAGGTGATTGATGCTCTATGTTCAGAAATTAGCGCGTTCGATGGGATATTTTCTCAAGTCGAGAATATTAGTTAGGCTCGTGAATAGGTAAGGAGTACGGCCATTAATAATATCTCCATCGTAATATACACATATGGGCACCAAAACCTTCTGGATCCATGTATGTAAGTACACTTTTCCACATATTCTTCAGTCACCGGCCCCCTATGTTGTTTATTGGGACTTGGAGGGACAACTCTAAATGCTAGGATCTTTTACTTCCTTTAGAAAGTTGAAAAAACGTACCTGTGGAGCGCTTCGTCGTGATTAATGTTTTAGTGTTTAGCTGGAAGAAACATCACTATCGGGCATCATGACTGGTGCATTCTACTTACCCTATCTGGTGCTTTATTTATTTCCAGAATCTCAGAACTCGAGTTCATTGCCTTATGTATGGGCAGAAGTACTAATACCTTAACAGTAATAGCGTATATAAACCAAGAACAAGACTACTTAGATCTATCTAGTCTAGTGATCATAATTAGTAGGGTATAGGATATATAAACGAACGACTATACAAGCCTCGATCAATAAACTACGCATCGGCAACAGAGCTTGTCTGATTGGAATTTGAGCCAGCCTCTGCCTGCTTCTGTTTCCTGGGTTTCACATTCAAACGCTCAATCTAAGTAAACGCTCATCAGCAGAAATTCAAAACCAGCCAGGTTAGTTTGAACTCACGCCAAGCGCAACAATCAGCGCAGCTCCCGCAAACGCAATCGGTGGTATAAACACCGTATCTATCGCCTTTGAATATGCCTCCAGCACACCGTCTAACGCATCAGCGGGAATAACGTTCCGGAATTCAGTAGCACCAGTGTCTAGGACGAGACTTGGGTTGACGGACGGAGCGTATTTGGTTACCTGTTTGACAAGGTCATTGTTGAATATGGCTTGTGAGAATGAGAGAGCGACGGCTCCGCCCAGGGATGTAGATAACATGACGAGACTGCCTATCGATTCAAAGTTAGCAACATAAAAGAGCAAGGTAAGTAAGTATTGGGGGTTAGCTTACTCCCAACAGGAACTTCCTCAGGTGTAAGAACGACTTGCGCCGCAATGAAAGGAAGCTGACCCGATCCACGTCCTATACCAGTTATGATCTGGTACCCGAGCCATTGACCGACAGTCGAGTGGACGCCGAGGGTGGAAAGAAGGCCACATCCAACGCAGAAAAATACAGGCCCTATCCACATGAGGTAGTAATAGTACCCGGTTCGGTTAACGTATATCCCCATGAGAATGGCGACGATGGTGTTGAATACCAGGTATGGGATGAATCGGACTCCAGATCCTACTGCAGATGTGTGTTCGACTGCTTGGAAATAGAGAGGGAGATAGTATATATGTCTAACCAACAATAACCCAGGTTAGCTCGAAGCCAATACTGTGTGGAAGAGGAATACTCACATATACAAAGACATACTATAGAAAAACGTGTAGAAGATGCAAACGATAATCGTACGCTGCTTCACGATAGAAGCTGGCATCGTAGCCCGCTTTCCTCTTTTGATTTGTATCCAAACGAAAACGGGCATAATGAGTGCGAATCCCAGGAACAATCCCCAGATCCGGGAATCTCCCCAAGGGAAGGTCGCCCCGCCCCATTGCAGAGCCAGTAATAGACATACCGTTCCGCCGATAAAGAATACAGCACCGAAAAAGTCTAGATTGGCCAGCTTTTCCCGGAGAGTGAGCGTTGATGCCCGACGGGGCGACGTGAAGAAAACGGCTACGGTGATGAAAGCGATGGCTCCAATGGGAAGATTTATCCAAAATGACCTATCACGAGAACGAGAGTGAGCGCTTTTGGGATGGAGTTGCGCGAAAATAATTTACCATCGCCATGACACTTTGTCTGTGAAGGCGCCTGAAAGCAAGGTATTATGAGTATAAAGAAAAGCAGCTGATTAGCAACATACGCACCTCCAATTATCGGACCAGTAATAGAAGCAAGCGTATACATGCTCGAAACACCCGCGTTATAAGCTGCTCGTTTTTCTAGAGCAACTGCGAATGCAATAATGTTGAGACTCCCCGAAAGTAAAGCTGAGGCACCGACTCCTGCTACCGCTCTACCGATGATGAGCATCAATGAGCTGGTTGCAGCAGCACATATGACTGATCCAACTACCGAAAACATCAGAGACCTTTTCGTTCAATACCAACGTAGGGTAATCTACCTTCGAATACAACGATTGCAGCCAAATACACAATCTTCATGTCAAAAACAGGAATATAGCTTCCCGAATGTTGGCTGAAGAGATGCCAAGGCAAGCAGGTAGGCGGACCCATACCAACCTGCAAAAATCGATTTTCATTTTCAAGCCGTCAAGCTACCCAGCTAATACTAACCAACGTCTTCAAGGGAGTCAAATACAGTGGTAATGGTTGGAATTACAGTCGCTAGTAAAGCGGCTTTCATTCAGCCATGGGCAGATAAGACGTTGAACCTCTCTCACCAACGATGGTGCTATCAAGAGCGACCTAGCGTCCAAGCTATTAGCGTTATTATACAGCTGACGTCAACGTGAACTCACCACAAAGAGACCTAGGCAGACGCCCAAAGTTATTAAACCCAGTCGAGTTCCAGACACATATTCGACTTGAAGTTTATCGTCCTTCTCAGCTTGTGATTCTGAAGAAGCTTGAATTTCAACTTCGTCTCTTTTTTCCTCAGATTTCGACTCGGTAACAACGGACGTGTCGTGAGCCTCGGTCATCAGCAAGGACAAATGAGATGATGGCGAAGGAAGGAGGTGTGAACTGCCATGTTGCCTTTTAATTAAGTTTCTACTTTCGCGTCGAGGTGATTCAATTGAAAGTATTTTGGGCGCTGGGAAAATCTAATCTAATCTGATCATGAGTTTGCTAGACTACAATGTCCCCCAGCCGGCTATATCGCCCTGGAGATCGTATAACTTCGATGACAGTCGATCGAAGAACCGGGCTGAACAGCCTGCCGCGTTCGCGGCACTTTGATCGACTTCATCATCAAATCTCGTATGTCGATGATCGACATCTAAGGCGAATGGGCCGAGTCTAGCTGTCAGCACTTCAACTTCTTTTTCGTTCCTTGTCTTATCCGTACTTGGAAGATAGTGCACCGTCAGCGACCATGGAAATCACCTTATCAAGAGCAATGCCGTGTACGCTTGGGTCACTGGGTGGGGTTTCTTGGAATGGATAACTGAAGGAAAGCTCGAAGTCCAGGATTACTTCGATTACTTTCAGAGTGTTAAACCAGTGCCACTGAATTTCCCTGTTTCACGCTCAAAAACGGTCTCATTCCAATCCTCAAAATTCGTTCATCCTATAAATTCATCCTTATTGCACTGATACCCAGTCTCGAGACTCACGCCAATGCATTTCATACCGCCGATCCTTACTTTCCTCTTCAATCTCCGGGTCCCGATCAGGATTGGCTTCCGAGTCACAAACCAACAAGGTATTTCCATCAAGCTGAAAACGGACGGCGAGAACAGAGCTCTTGCTAAGAAAATGGTTTAATGGATTTTGAAATACAAGGACTTTGTGGAACGAAACCAACCTTGAAATTCTCATCCGAGTCCTTGGACAGGAGGCGCACCTGGAAAGGGTTTTTACTGTTTTTACTGTACTTACTGGCTGGTGAGGATTTAAGAGGAGTCCGAGAGCCTCTGTTCGGGATTGCAACTACTTATGATGCAGTAGGAAATGTATTGTATTCCAGACCAAACGGATCGGCTTATTTTCATTCTACGGCATATGCGGTTCTTTTTTTGGGATATGTTGGGATCCAATTATGATTATCAGAAATGGAGTAGACGAGGTCTCCAGAGGCATCTTAGTCAGTCAGAAGCTGGAGCTGGAGCTGAAGTTCGAGGAGGACGCAAGAAATAAAAACCTCAGGCTTTGAAAAAAGAGAACTGATGCCGTACACACCGACGCCAGCAGGATTTGAACCTGCGCCCTCAAAGAGGAACAGATAAGAAACTTTGAGGATATTCGAATCTGTCGCCGTAACCACTTGGCTATAGCGCCGCTGAGTCACAGTGTAGTAACTATTACCACCGAGTCTGTCGCAATAACATCTTTGCACGCCAGATCCAACGTACTCGCGTACATTCTCCGAGGCAACAGTTCTTTTATAAACCTTGTATCAGCTATTATCGGCGTCAAATAATAGACTCTGAGACGTCAGAATCCATTGGTCGTCGGTCATTGGCCCACTTTCTCCCCCCAAAACGACCAAACACCAAGACCTGGCCACATTCATCGCTACTACATTCATCGCTACTACCAGTACAAGCTGCACTATAGACCGTACTAGAGCTAGTCTACAGTGCATCGATGATCATACACGATACACATCTCACCCAACCTCAATCATCACCATCCACTCCTGGCGATTACCCATCATCTTCATCACACACTAGTTGAAACGAAAAGGAAAGGATATTGGTGCTAAACGAAATGGTACTCGGTGCTCATACTCAGCGTTTGTCTCGTGCGACCTGCGACCTGACGACGCGCCTACCTGCCCTCGCATCGTTGTCTGTCGATTGTTTGGCTTTGCTGACATTGGATTCTCCTCACATTGTATTGTCTATTTTCGGGAGTCGTTCGTGCGGGTGGCGACCATGAATCCATTACATAGTTATTCTCGTTCATTCTATGAAATATAATGTACATATACCGCTGGAGCAAAGTACCGTTAGTAAAAGGACGACAAACTCAAGACAAACTAGAAGACTAATGCTCCCAATGACACTTGCCTTCTGTGCTGCTTCATTCTACAGATGTCCTCGCCCTCCCAACTTCCCTTCCCTCTTCATCGACGATCAGAGGCGCGTCAATCCTCCTGTGATCTCGCCAACCTGCCCAAACGCCCAAAAGAACCGACAGCGCACACCCGATAATGGTAAGATATAACGTTTCAACATAACACACCCTGCCTTCGCGACATTCGCTCCTGGGATTCGTCTCCCCCACAAGCAACGAGAGTATCTGCGCTGTTACAGGCGATTCGTGCGCGTCCAAGTTCTTACCAAACGCAACAGAGAAAATGTTTCCGCCGATGAGGGGAGAGAAGGCGAGAAAGCCCAAGATTTCAGAGAAATGAGCTAATAATCGAGTTCAGAATAGGAAACCAATGCAACCATTTCGACTTGCCTAAGCCAAACCACTCACTAACTATGGAAAAAGAGAGTGAAATTCGCATGCCAAATCCCAACCCAAGCAATCCACTTGATATCCACAAGTGCGAGACAATATTAACCTGGGAAGCGACAATCTGGGAGGCTAGACGTAGTAGTGGTAGCCAAGAAGAGCAGATAAGAGCGAGGAAGACCGAAATGGGCTTTTAAAAAATCCGAGACAATGCCTGTGAAAAGTCTGTACGTGAAAATATAAAGCTCAAATCAAGAGTTTGCGTACCAATGAATATCCGCCCCAGGAAGCTCGCAAGACTGATTGTGGAGACTTGAGCGGCCTGCAATCGTGAGACTTCAGTCTCATCATGCTTCGGATAGTTTTCGTGTATATAGAGGATTCGAGCCATTGACCCAACGTTATTGATATCTTTTTCAACGCGAGCAGAGTTCAGTAAAGCGAAAGTACATTGAACAGCAGAGACTTACACATGAGGCCTGTACCGCTTCACTAAAGTGGGTAGATTAGTTTCCATAAACGCATCACGGGAACGAGATATAGTACCGAGAGAAGAAATGCAGAAAAGAAGCCAAAAGTCAAGAGAAGAAATCAGTTTCCGTCCGTGGATGCGCTCAAGAGGTCTGCGAAAGGTGCTGGAACATCTCTGCCTTGAACCAGATTCCATTAAAAGTGGAGTCTGAGTGTTCGGTTCAGATGGAATCATCTGTGGAGGTGCTTCCAGAGGGATAGGTCGCACAAAAAAGAACCCAAAAAGCATTGGCAAAGCTGTCCCTAGCGTGAGACCCAAAAGCAAAAAGGATGTTTTGCCAGGAATACACTGCGAGCTATGAACGAAAAGACAAAAGCCGAGAGCCCGAGCGCAGATGAGACGATTCCAACTGTAGAACCACGCTACATAATAAATGAATATCTGACATCAACGTGACTCCAGTGCAAAAAGCAGAAAGCCTACCAGTGAATCCGGAAAGCTTTTCGCAGTGACGTTCAGTGAAGCAGCGACACCACCACTTGCACCGACACCAGTCATCCAGCTAAACAAGACTAAAAGCGGGAAGGTCGCAGTTGAAATTGACCCGGAGGTGCTCGAACCGGATCCAGTGTCATAGATAATGCGGATACCAGAATACCCCACCAACAGGAGGCAAAATCCAGTGAACATGCTAGGTTTGGGTCCAGTTTTATCGATGATCATCCCCCAGAAAGGCAAAGAAAGTAATACTCCAACTGTATTATTATAGTGAGGCGTTATCAGTTTGGCAGTGCTTCTATATATGAAAAAGTAGGGTCGGACCATTTCCTGCGAGACCAATTATATTCAGCTCAGTATGCGATATATGGAGACGTGCTGCGAGTTGAGGAGCATATGCTGTAAATAACCTAGTAAACGTAGGTTCTCTCTTTCAAGAAGTTTTCCCTACCCGAAAAGACCTATTACAACGACAAAATCAGCTCTCAAAAGCCAGGCAAAAGTCTCGTGGGAGAAAACGTACGTAGTTAGTCCCTGAGGCCAAAGAAACAAGCACGGCGCCGAAAAAAGTGAGTGCGCGACGCGCTTCAAGGCTATTTGGAAGCCTTCCTCTGAGTTGAATCATCTTCACAGAATGGAGCGACGTATATCTGACGTAGATGGTGGTAGAAGAAGAGTGTTAAAAGTAGCTTGCTCCAATAGATTAGATTTTAAAAAAGTATTTGCCATGGGATCATGATTGAACGTCTGTGCGGAAGAATCGAAAGAATGCACGATATGAACTTGATATGAACCGAAAAAGAGTCTTCCACTGGCACCAACATCTTGCCCGGAACCTCAAGGTTTGCCCCTAGATTCGACTTTCGCTATCGCTTCGAAATCAGTGCTAGAGGTTTCGTTCGTAATGATACTGTAGTTGGAGCATATGATGCAAGTGATGATGAGAAAGATTCAAATTGTTTTACGATTCGTGACTGCTAGAGCCTAGGGATGATAAGCGCTCGTTCTGTCTTCATCACGTGTAATACTTTGGTATTTCTCCTTTGGCGAGGACGCAAAATCCTCGCGTCAATTCATAACATTGCAGGTGTACTGGATTTTTGGATGAGTTCCATAAACGTCAAGCATGTCGCACTCTCACATGTGACGAACGACAACAAGATTGACTTGCACTTCCGATCCTCCAATCTCCTTGCACCTCCAAGTCACCCTCTTCCAAATAAATGCACATCCGTTACGAATCACGATTCCCCATCGACTCTCGAGTCCCATTCAGTCCAATTCCAACCAAGAATCCTCAGTCTAGCCAAGTCCAAATCCGAGCAAGGAATTTTTCGAACAGCAGACTCGAAAATGAAGAACTCAAAAAGACTCTGATTCATATACTTAGTTCTATCGGTAGTCTAGATTCTTATTAATGGCAATACGTGCACTAGTACTTGTTTCTCTTTGGAGGAGGGTGCAGGTTTAAAACCTGATGGCGTTGATAACTTTCCAAAATCTTATTGCTTTTCTTTCTCTTTTCCTCCAGATGTACACTTAAGTATTAATGAATCTCTACAGAGCTAGCAGGTACTGCCAAAATGAACAGATATCTCTCTTTTATGTCTACTGACCAGTAACTGCAAAGTCAATCATAATAATCAACAAGTGGCGCCTCTCAAGGTTCTAAGTCTCCCATGGTCTGGCAGTCGCTCACGGTTCAAGTATAATGGACTTGAGCAAACTTGAGCGACAAGCCGCAGGCTGGTAGTCTCTTATAAACAGACAACTACACGATTGTAACGATGTGTAGAGAGCAGGCTGGATGGAGACAGCAGAATGATACCATGACATGCGTTTGCTGGTACGGTATGAGTACGTTGGTAAGTAACTATGTTGGTAGTATGTATGACATTTGGTATTTACACTCTTTACCTTTGCACGGAGAAGGAGTTTAAGTCTGGAGACACACTTCGACCCTCCAGTGTTTGGGGGATGGTTCTGCGATAGAGGAAGAGGAGAGGGTAAGTTGTACAAATACGAATGGGAAGGTAGGATTAAGAAGAGTACTTACTCAGCCCCACCCCGTCCTGAATCCTACACCTCTGTTCGGCGACCCAGTCCCAATCTCAAGACCTGATCCTCCTCTGTATCCAGCTCCCTGTTCGTTTCGTTTAGACAACTGAGATGTAGCTTGAACTGCAATCGTAATCGTCAATGGAATGCTTTCTTTTCGAGTATTGAATTGACAAATTGACGTACAAGTGTCTCCGGGTGTGTTGAAGTGCATGCGTGGATGTAGCGTTGAATATAGCGTAGTGTTTGGAGGAATGGAACTAGCACAGCTGGTATATTATACGGAAGGAAGAGGTGTTGATAAATACGCGTCTGAGAAGTCGGAGTCGGTGCTCGGTCCTAAGCGCGTCGTGCCGCGACAGTAGAGGAAGATGAGGGAAGTAGCCTGAAGGCGAACCGCTGGAACTTGGTCTTTGCTAACGTTAAATCATCGTCGGGATCGTTCAATCGGGATAGATAACTGGCGGGCGCAGTGTAACCAGAGTTTGTGCCACTCTGTTTCCCTCCTCACCTCCGTCACCACCCGAAGAATCAAGCCCATAAACCTAACCTAACCAAATCTTCCTCGTTTCCGACTGCTTCCATCGGGACTGATAATTTTATGCAGTGATATTGAGAGTCGAGGCTTAACTCTCAACAGTGGTGAGCTACGTTGCGGAACGTCTAGACCTGAAAAGCAGACGATTTTTGGACGATTTAAATTTGGAATTGGATTCGGATGACGGTGTAAAGGATTCTCAGTAATCCAAATTGACGACGCAAATTAGAAGAAATGAAGGAGCGAAGCCAGCTCGCGGCGGTGTGGGTTGAAGCTTTGCAAAAAAAAAAAAAAGCAATAACGTTA